AATGGGATTAATAAAAATCTTAAAAAAAATTAGCTTATACGAAATGATATGGATTTACATAAAGAATAAAAAAAAGCACATTTAAACTTTATTAAGGAAAAATAATACCTAAATTAATCTCGTATTTATCAGGCAATTTCCATTTATTTAAAATATGGAGAAATGTAATTTTTCAAAAACTATTCCAAAATCAATTATTAAAAAAATGTATTATCTTCAAATTAAAAAATAATTTACCAGAAAATAATCGAAAAAATGTAGAAATAATAAATAAATTTGGGACTAAAACTCTCATAGAATTAAAAAAGTCAATTTTTTGATTATCCTTCAAAATATTGACAGAATTAAAACAATTTAATCTCATATTTATCAAGCTATCTCAAAAAAGCAGTTGAAATAAATGTTTTAAAAAAAGTTGCATGTCTTCTTTTTTTTCATTATCACGTGATAGTAAATAAATTGAAAAGGTAGCGAAGCAAATCTAAGTATACAGATCTTACAGAATAAAAAGGGCAATTTTAAGATTATCATTACTAAATATTGACTAAATTGAATTAATTCAATCTCGTATTTATCAAGTTATCTCAAAAAAGCAGTTAAAATAAATCTTTTAAATAAAGTTGCATATCTTCTGTGTTTTCATTGTCACTTGAAAGTAAATAATTGAAAAAGTGGAGAAACAAAAAACAAAGGAAAGGGAATCTACTTACAAAATAAGAAAGGCAATTTTTAGATTATAATTGCTAAATATGGACAAAATTAAAACAATTTTATTTCGTATTTATGAAGCTATCTTAAAAAAGCAATTGAAATAAATTATTTAAATAAAGTTGCATATTTTCTGTGTTTTCATGATTACTTGACAGTAAATAATTCAAACAGTAGAGAAACAAAAAACAGAAGAGGAATCTACTTGCACGAAAAGAAAGCAGATTTTTGCTACATTAAAAGTATTAACTAATGACTACACTAAATTAATTAAGTACCATATTTATCAAGCCATATCAAAAATTAAAAAATAGAAAATTATTTAAATAGCATTGTATAACTTCTCTTTTTTTATTAACAAAAAATAGCTGAAAATGTGAAGAATTTATGAAAGAAAATGTGTAGATAAATTTCATACAAAATAAAAATTTGCATTTTTTGGCTACAGTTTTAATGATAAATGATGGGTAATTTAGAAATGGAAAAACATGCAAGAAAGCGATCTTTTTAATTGAAAGGAATATCTAGAAATTCGTTGTTTGAATATTATTGTAACACTGATCTTTTTTTGTTGAAATGCAACAGAAATAATCCAAAAAGGGAAGCTACGAAAAACAATATGTTGAAAGGAACTACGTACAGAATATAAAAGGGAATATTTAGGAACAGTATCGACAGTAAATAATGACTGAATTAGGGTAATTTAACTTACATCAGGCCTTGTCAAAATCTAAGCGAAATAATATCCTACAAATAACAACAACAAAAAAACAGACAAATAAAATAATCTCTCAAAATCTCAATTGAGAAATTGTTTTTAAATTAATCTCTTTTCATCAAATTTTAACAGAAAGTATTAGAAAAGTTAAAAAAAATTAGACAAAAAGGGCCATATTTAGATACATTATTATGGTAAATAATTAAAAATTCAATTAATTATGGTATTTATTAAGTCATATAATAATTAAGAAACTTGCCTATGAAGTAATTTCTTAATTGAGTGAATTTCTAAATAAAATTCCACACTCTCTCTCTTCTATTCATCAAATTTAAACAAAAAATTAACTAAACAGCGAAGGAGTAAGATAAAAGAATGATCATATTAAGCTACGTTATTAATAATTAATAATGACTAACTTAATTTAATTAAATGTTTTATTTATCAGATCATGTGAAAAAATTGAAAAACTTGCATAAAAGTAATCTGTTAAAAACTTAAACGATTATTTTTTAAAAATAAAATGACATAATTCAAAATTCTTTCTCAACTCTAACAGATATTAATCAAAATGTGAAGCAAATAGGATAATGAATTACATATTTTCCAACACAATTAATGATAAATGATGACCTAGTTATTTTAATTAAATATCTTAATTATTAGACCATGCAAAACATTTTTTAATCAAAATTGCATACCCACTTTTGATCATCTAACTTAAACAAAAGCTTGAAAAATAAGAATAAAAACAAGTTCCGCATTTACCTATAACATTTAATATAATGATTAATGATAAATTCAATTTAATTAGATATCATATTTTTTACGCCATATAAAAATTGAGAAAAAATAATAAAATTAAGAAGTAAACCATTAAATCCTTAGTAAAACTCTTGCATAAAATGTTATCTCTTAAAAACTCAATTAAACGGAACTTATTTCAATAAAATTGCATACCCTCTTTCATTCTTTAACTTAAACAAAAGCTGGAGAAATATGATCAAGCACAAGATTCGTATTAATAGCTATACCATTTAAGATAGTTATTGATTAAAACAATTTAAATAGATATCATTATTTTTAGGATATATAAAAATGGAGAAGAAAAATGCAATAAAAATAGAAAGTAATCTATTAAATGCCCAGCTAAAATCTTGCATAAAATGTTATCTCTTGAAAACTCAATTAAAAGAAACTTATTTCAATTAAATTGCATACCCTCTTTTATTCTTTAACTTAAACAAAAGCTGGAGAAATAAGATTAAAAACAAGATTCGTATTAGTAGCTATACCATTTTAGATAGTTAATGATTAAAACAATTTAAATAGATATCATTATTTTTAGGCTATATAAAAATGGAGAAGAAAAATGTAATAAAAATTAAAAGTAATCTATCAAATGCTCAGCTGAAATCTTGCATAAAATGTTATCTCTTAAAAACTCAATTAAAAGAAACTTATTTCAATTAAATTGCATACCCTCTTTTATTCTTTAACTTAAACAAAAGCTGGAGAAATAAGATTAAAAACAAGATTCGTATTAGTAGCTATACCATTTTAGATAGTTAATGATTAAAACAATTTAAATAGATATCATTATTTTTAGGCTATATAAAAATGGAGAAGAAAAATGTAATAAAAATTAAAAGTAATCTATCAAATGCTCAGCTGAAATCTTGCATAAAATGTTATCTCTTAAAAACTCAATTAAAAGAAACTTATTTCAATTAAATTGCATACCCTCTTTTATTCTTTAACTTAAACAAAAGCTGGAGAAATAAGATTAAAAACAAGATTCGTATTAGTAGCTATACCATTTTAGATAGTTAATGATTAAAACAATTTAAATAGATATCATTATTTTTAGGCTATATAAAAATGGAGAAGAAAAATGTAATAAAAATTAAAAGTAATCTATCAAATGCTCAGCTGAAATCTTGCATAAAATGTTATCTCTTAAAAACTCAATTAAAAGAAACTTATTTCAATTAAATTGCATACCCTCTTTTATTCTTTAACTTAAACAAAAGCTGGAGAAATAAGATTAAAAACAAGATTCGTATTAGTAGCTATACCATTTTAGATAGTTAATGATTAAAACAATTTAAATAGATATCATTATTTTTAGGCTATATAAAAATGGAGAAGAAAAATGTAATAAAAATTAAAAGTAATCTATCAAATGCTCAGCTGAAATCTTGCATAAAATGTTATCTCTTAAAAACTCAATTAAAAGAAACTTATTTCAATTAAATTGCATACCCTCTTTTATTCTTTAACTTAAACAAAAGCTGGAGAAATAAGATTAAAAACAAGATTCGTATTAGTAGCTATACCATTTTAGATAGTTAATGATTAAAACAATTTAAATAGATATCATTATTTTTAGGCTATATAAAAATGGAGAAGAAAAATGTAATAAAAATTAAAAGTAATCTATCAAATGCTCAGCTGAAATCTTGCATAAAATGTTATCTCTTAAAAACTCAATTAAAAGAAACTTATTTCAATTAAATTGCATACCCTCTTTTATTCTTTAACTTAAACAAAAGCTGGAGAAATAAGATTAAAAACAAGATTCGTATTAGTAGCTATACCATTTTAGATAGTTAATGATTAAAACAATTTAAATAGATATCATTATTTTTAGGCTATATAAAAATGGAGAAGAAAAATGTAATAAAAATTAAAAGTAATCTATCAAATGCTCAGCTGAAATCTTGCATAAAATGTTATCTCTTAAAAACTCAATTAAAAGAAACTTATTTCAATTAAATTGCATACCCTCTTTTATTCTTTAACTTAAACAAAAGCTGGAGAAATAAGATTAAAAACAAGATTCGTATTAGTAGCTATACCATTTTAGATAGTTAATGATTAAAACAATTTAAATAGATATCATTATTTTTAGGCTATATAAAAATGGAGAAGAAAAATGTAATAAAAATTAAAAGTAATCTATCAAATGCTCAGCTGAAATCTTGCATAAAATGTTATCTCTTAAAAACTCAATTAAAAGAAACTTATTTCAATTAAATTGCATACCCTCTTTTATTCTTTAACTTAAACAAAAGCTGGAGAAATAAGATTAAAAACAAGATTCGTATTAGTAGCTATACCATTTTAGATAGTTAATGATTAAAACAATTTAAATAGATATCATTATTTTTAGGCTATATAAAAATGGAGAAGAAAAATGTAATAAAAATTAAAAGTAATCTATCAAATGCTCAGCTGAAATCTTGCATAAAATGTTATCTCTTAAAAACTCAATTAAAAGAAACTTATTTCAATTAAATTGCATACCCTCTTTTATTCTTTAACTTAAACAAAAGCTGGAGAAATAAGATTAAAAACAAGATTCGTATTAGTAGCTATACCATTTTAGATAGTTAATGATTAAAACAATTTAAATAGATATCATTATTTTTAGGCTATATAAAAATGGAGAAGATAATAGTAATAAAAATAAAAACTAATCTATTAAATGCTTAGTTGAACTCTTGCATAAAATGTTATCTCTTAAAAACCCAATTAAAAGAAATTTATTTAAATAAAATTGCATACCCACCTTTTCATTAAAACTAAACACAGATAATGGAACCAGCAGCGAAGAAATGGAAGGATATCATAAACATGTGGCAATAAACACAATCGTGACCAAACCTTTTATGAATAATTTATCATTTGCACCTGGATTCGAGTTTTATATGAAGTCTATGATTGGCACAGAGCCAATTAAATTTTACTCATCAGAATATTATGCTAGTCAACCAGAGAATTATTTTCATTAGCTTAAATTTTTATATACAAGCAATTATACATATTATACTTTATTTACTTGCTTTTTGCATAAATAAAAACCAAATTAATAAAGTTGCATGTAATAATAAAGTTGAGCGTTATGTATTTATCAGTAACATCAATATTTACAACCAGATCATATTTGTTTTTATATCCTTTGAATACATAATTGTAATTCAGGGTCAATATTTATAAGTTTCTATCGCTTTTTTTTAGAAAAAAAAATATTATTTGAATATTACCTTTATTTATTTGCATATTGTAAATTAATGTCAGTTGGAAGTCAATAAGCATAACCAGCTGTTGTTTAATTAAATAACATTTTTACATTAATGAACAAAATTTTTGTAATAAAATGACAGTTGAATATTAGTATTTACTACCAGTTATTGATTATTATAATAACATTTATGTATCACACTGATTTATCGTATCAATTTTAATTGCATTTAAGTTTACATATTTATTATTTTTTTTTCTTTGAAAAATATTGATATACCTTTAAATCGATAGTAAATCAATTAAAATTTAAAATAAAAGTAATTATGTCTCGTTTATTATGGATCTGATTATTTGTTAACACACAGATTTACTGTTTATAAATGTGTATTTATATTAAATTCTTGATGTAAATGTTGTATAGATCGATAATTCTGAATAAATTTCATTTCTTAAACTATCAGTCACGTTTTTATTCACATATAATTATTTTATTATTTATTATTCAAATTTTATCTAAAATCGATTTAAAATAGACTTCATAATTTCATATTTCAATTTAAAAATTTTAATTTAAAATCGATAGCAAATCAATTAAAATTTAAAATAAAAGCAATTATGACTCATTTATTATGGATATAATTTTTTGTTAACACACAGATTTACCCTGAATAAATATGTATTTATATTAAATTCTTGCTAATATTTATATTAATTCCTGTTAATAAATATGATCCATAATTCTGAACAAATTTCAGTACTTACTATCAATCATATTTTTATTCACCTAAAGATTATTTATTATTTCAAATTCAAATTTAAAATGCAACTAATTATGAATTAATGGATAGTTATGGATTATGGATAGCTATGGATTTTTCCTAAAAACAGTTAGTTAAGATATTTATATACACTTGTTTCAGACAATATTTTTAATAAAAATGAGGAGATCTCACAAATTTACATATGATTTTGCACGTAAGGTTTCAAGTATTTGCGCATGTGCACGTCTGGTTTAAATACGCATGCGCCAGTGAAAAATAAGAGATTTCGAAAAATTCCATAAGTTAAAAACCGCTTACGTAGTGGAATATAATTTTAACTTAAAAAACAAAATCGAAACAAATTTTTACAATGGGTGTGGACTGTTTCTTTAAAGCTGTCGCAAACGATTCAAAATTCGTTGTTCTACGCATTTGCGGATCTGAGAGCAGAAAAAATTGGTAGTTTATAGATTTTCAAAAATTCAGAGGTAAAGAATGCAGCTTATTGCTATTATTAATATTTAAAGAATTATTATTGAACTTCTATCGATTAATTAACTTTTTTAAACTAAATTGTATAGTCATAATAAATATAATTTATAATTTCGAAAAAGCGAAGTTTCTTATGGAACTAGTGCAAGTAGACAACCATAATGTTAAACAAAAACTAATTAAATTATTTTTTTATTCAAAGAAATAATGGTTGTAAGATTATATGTTTCTTTTCTAAATTTCATCAATTCATTTCTTCAAATTCGCATTCCACGTTCATGTTTTTGGTAGGAAGGTAGGCTTAAACAAAAAACAATATTTAACAGCTATAAACAGGTTGCTTGTAGCTTTGTCTTTGTAGCGAACATAACGCCAACTTCACGTAAAGATACGTAACACCTAAAATAAATGCGAGCATGCGCAGTTTCTTCGATCTTATGTGCGGGAGCATATGGAAGGTAACGCAAAAGTGCGAAATCTCCCTATAACCATAACTTAAAACTCAACCGTAACAAACACGTAAAAGTTAACAATAGCAAACCCTTAGCTGAAAATACTTAGCTGAAATACCAAAGTCTTCCCAAACCATGGATTGGAATTTTTTTCTTGTTATCTACTGTTTTTATTTTATTTATCATATTTACAATTTGCGATATAAAGGAATTAAGAAGTATCTTAAGGGTGAAAGGTATGCACAAGCATATAGTTTGTCTACGACAAGAACTTCCCCCTCCACAAAGTCCGATTCTGCCTGCTGCTATGGAAACAAGAATAGCTCATTTCAGGGAGGGTAGCTTCTCGTGACTCTGGGTTTAACATATTCACTTTCTCTCGCTGACGTGAGCTAAAACCTGCCCTAAACAATGACCCCACACCCTTGCTTGAAATACCCCGATTTAACGAAACCTTATTTACCGAATTTATGAAGTTAATGAAGTAGATTTATATAGGAAACAATGACTCTGACACGGAAGTCAATGATAATGAATCTCCATTGAAAACTGTTACCTTTTCTGATGCTTTGCATGGTTTGGAAACAGTGCAAACTTACCTAATGCAGTAAATGAAGGAGCATTTCTTTTTCTCATCATGACGTCAAAAAAGAACTTTTTAAAGTAAGAAATAAAGAAAATAAGGAATCCTTCCTCGCGAAAATGTCTTCAAAATTTCGAATTAATCAGAGCGTAAACATTCGAATCATTCAACCTGAATAAAAAGTGTGCGATTTCTTTTTATTTTGCGTATTTGCTTATTAGAGATGTTCGAATATTCCATAAGGTTAGTCATTTTTTTCCCTTCCCGATATTACGAATTATCCCCGATTCAGCGAATAATACTTTCGGTCCCTATGAATTCGTTAAATCGGGGTTCGACTGTAGTTATACCTCGTTACCATAGTCACAGCCACGGGCTCAGACGAAGGGGTAGGAGAGTTCTTACTTTAGAGAAACTATACGATAGGAGGAGAATTTGGAAGATCCAGACAGTTTTTGTGCAATTGGCAATACATGAGGAAACAAGGAGGGCATTATACATCAAGATGGAAGCTCATTAATTGTATGTGAAGGCTACATCTATAGTGGTCAACCTGACCTAGCCTCTTCCCCATGCCGTTTAGAGGCTACCGATTGAGAAAGAATTCTGTAAACCCACTAGTAGAAAGAATTGACGTCCCAAACCAGATATTCCAGCAAAATAATGTCTCAGTTGGAGTCGGTAAATTTCGAACTGGCGATTTTGCGTGATTTTTGGATACTTGCATTAAATGGCATGTCATTTTCATTAACTTCAATCCCCAAGGTAAGCCGTGACGGCTCAAGGCGAACCAGGTTCGAATCCCAGCGATGGCTGGTCGATACGAATTTTACACCCGGCTCGCACCGACCACAGTACTGACGTAAAATATCCTTAGTGGAAGACGGATCATGAGTTCCCTTATCGTTAGGTTAATCGTGGGAGTTTTTCGGAATATTCCTCTTCATGTAATGCAAATGCTGGTTAGTTCCATTAAAAAATCCTCCACGAAAGCAAATTTCATCCAATCCTTGATTCCAGAGTTCCCTTGTCTTCTGAGTTGGGTTCAAGATGACAAGGCTACGGAATTGAACATTAGTAGTCGTAAACTCAAATTTTGGGTCGGATGTTCAATGACGTTTATGAAATGAAATAAAATCCGCATTGAAAAACATGGGGGCTACCTTCAACGGTGCTATATATACCAAGAAGGGTTTCAATTGGTGGCTTAATTGAAGGCTACTATCATTGAAATTTGGCTTTGGTTGGGAGTTCTTACTTGAGACAAACTATAGATCTTTTTTACTTAAGAATTCAAATCTATAAGCAATTCCCACTCTACCAACACTGTTTTTTGCATTTTTTATTTATTAAAAAAAACTTGACTAGCGCAAAGGCTCTTATCATTGTTGTCATTGTTGTAAAGAATTTATTTATATGTATTTATTACGCATTTATATGATGTCATTTGTTATCACGTAGTTCCAACTTATCATTTCGATTTGAAAAGGAAAAAAACTTTAAAATGAAAAAAATCCACTTATAGTATGTTCTACCTCTACATGTATGTCTTTCGTAGCCCTACGAGCACAAATGTTTGTTTGTACCTGATGCTGATTAATTTATTTAATTAATTGATTATCTCATTTGGCGAGGTTTCGAATGCTTAGCGCGGGTCCTGAAATTCATAAGATCTTTTTGCACTGCTTAATATATTTATGTAGTTGTCGAAATATATAAAGTTAAATAGTCAAAATAATATGATAAAACATATTAAAAATGCTAGTCGTAAAGGAAGATTCGAAAAAAATATATATAAATTCTTTATCAAATATTTACGCACATTAATATTACTAAAATGAGGCCGGGATAGTCTGGTTGGTAGGGCACTGGGCCCATGTCCAACAGTTCGTGGGTTCGATCCCCGCCGGCCGAATACTCCCCTTGTAGTATATTGTGAGTATAAGGCTACGGAGTTGAGCATTAGTTGTTGTAAACCCGAAAATTGGGTCGGCTGTTCAACGACGGATATAAAATATTACTATAATGGACCCGTGGTGGCTCAGGGGATAGAGTGCTGACTTTCCGATATGTTCTCCGTATGTCTTACTATACTATATGTCTTTATTAAAGATATCAGAAATTCTAATTATTTGAAATTGTTCATATTACTAGACATAATTATAAAAATTTATGCATCGGAAAAAATTAATTTATTTGCAATATCTTCAGAGTTTCAATTTATTTGATTAAAGTACCAAAACGCAACAACTATTATATCAATATTTACTTGCCCAGAATTTTTAAATTAAAATTTTAAATATAAATGTAAATTTAGACGCAACTTTTTATACAAACATCGAAACGTTTGTTTGAATTTAAAAGCAACACGACTTTGTAAGCTAA